ACCGTAATCACTGTACTAAAACCGAACCAGTCGATAACTCTACAAATCCATGTGCACACCTAAATCCAACTGCTTGTCAAACAATCCTCGAGCACTTGTGCAATTGATCTATGCGCCATTTTAATGACTCCGTCTTGAGCACACGATGGCCTTAATATCATAATTTCTCGAATCCTCACTGCAACTGTCACACCCTTATCCTCTCTTCTAGATGTATTTTTACTTCTTTTTCAGCCTTCTTTTTGCATGATCAATGATTAGTAAATCCTCGCGGATTTCTTCAGATAATGGAACAGAACAATTGGAGCGCGAGGTTCTCTTTTTCAAACACACAGGGTTTCCAACATTCAACATAAAACGATAGGAAATATAATGCCTACACAAAATACAAAAGCAGATAAAGACTTGATCCATATTGTTTTAACATTACTCGAATGTTTTTCGCCAACTCTAAACAAGTAAAATCAAGCTGTTAATCTCCCTGGGTGAGAGAGGGATTGATCACAAAACGGTCTTGGAGAGTTAATAACTCGAAAATCCGGCACTAAAAAGTGTTTTTTCTGTTACTCTTCCTTCAAGAAGCAGTTAAAATGTAACTAGAAAATCCCATTAGAATTCTAGTTCCGGTTCTGGCACTTAAAATAAAAAACAATTGGTCTTGTTAATCCAATACCTCGATTGCCAGGCGGAATTGCCGATCCAACGTAAAGCAACCCTTATTGCGACTACAGTCAAAACTGAGGAATGGATGGAGGTAAGAACTAAAACGTAAGAAACTGCTTGATGCAGTAAAAACAAATGTGTTGTTCTTTGACCATAGATGAGAAATCTTATGCTAACCATGATTCTAGATCAGCCCCCAAGTGGGGTAGCGATGGCCCTAGGACGTGTCCAGCCAGATGTTTAAACCCAAAAAATTCCAGTTGGCAAACACTCTTCTGATAACTTGCTATGTTTAGCAGAGTCTGGTCGTCTTTCCATACTATAAGGGACCGTATAGTAATGAAGAAACTAACACAGTGAAAATTTCAGTCCATCGTAAACTTTATCCTTCATTTTTCGTCTTTTCCAGCCGTCCTGGAAAAGAAACAAAGGGTATGTAAGTGCATGTCGAATCACACTCCTACGCGCGTAAAGACAAAAAGTGGGAGAAAAAAGTAAAATAAACTCATGCACATACGATATCGTAAAAACGATTTTCACAGGATGATTTTTTTGATTTTTCTGGAAGAAATTTTTTAATATACGTATATTAGCGAGCATATCAGCAGGATATTTTTTGTAATAAATATATAAATATAAGCATATTGAAATCGGTTTTTTATATTATATACAATACAAAGAAAAATCGAGGTGAAACAAATGTTTTGGAAACCTTACTCACCCTTCAGAATGCGTAGTTTTGAGTTGGATGTCAGATACTGCCGAAGTTTTATTGTGAGTGTTAGCTATCGGATGAATCGTGCCTTTCGATTGTACCGTAGAAAAATCGACATGGATAATGTTTCCTTCTGAATACGCTGCTTTGATGCAATCGATGCTGATGCTATCGTTAGTTCCGCTCTTATCGATCACGTAGTACTTAGGTTGGTGCTAGAGAACTTTGAACGGTCCTTCATATGGTCTGCCGGGTACGTTTATTTTTTTCAGTTGGAAAATTACATGAAGATTAATGGTTTGTATTAATCCATGCAATAGTGGTCTATCAGTTGATCCAGCTTTCTTCTGAAAGCATGGAGGTAATGAATTTGATTGGTTGGTGATTTTTTGGGCTTTTGAACGAATTAAGTATGTCCTCGTAAATTCTCTGTTTTCGAAGACAAGAAATGTGAGGACATATTAGATGCAGATTTATCACAAAGTGATTTAATAACGGTGATCGAATCACCTCTGGTTCTTCCATGTGAAAATGAAGACGGACTTAGTTTATACAGCCGAACATCATACATAAGATTTGTTACTCCGAGAGTCAGCTTACTTGAGTTAGATTGTACCCTGCCTGACAGCTCGCTATCAGGAGCTATCATCTTTTATGCAGTACTAGAATTTAGGACGAACGGATACTGTACACAAAGCCAAAAAGCTTCTATCATCAACATGACTAAAGACCCTACGTATTGACCATAAGGCTCCGAAACCTTTGGCGGTTATCTTACGGCAATGTGGAGTGGTTTCTAAGTGTTGGCTAATGATGTCTCTTAGGTCAGTGTATTTCCAGATAACATGTAGCTCAATGTTATTCATCGTGTATGTATCTGTACTGTGGTGACCATTATGCATCACAATACACTTGTAAGTATTTACCAGCAACGGCAAAATTCTAGACCATTCAGATAATTTCTCAAAGTCATTTTGAAGCCTTAAACTATCACCTTTACTTTTAATCGCCCTCTGTATTTTGACATCGTCAGCACATAACAAAACCGATGATGAAAGGAAACCAGGAAGGTAAGCTACATACAAAAAATACAACCCTTGCCCCGAAATCGTACCCTGAGGTACTCCGCCAAGCAGGGTTTCTCAGCTAGACAACTTTGAGTCCATCCGTACTATTTGTTAACGTCCAACTGAGTTCTTTGTCCACATAAATAAATTTCCCTAAATTCCGATAATTCTTAACTTATACAACAGCCGGTCGTGTGGAACTTTGTCAAATGCACTACTGAACTTAGTGTTGACTACATCTATATGCAGCTGTTGACTTACAGTAACTCACCAACTTCACTGGTTGCTAATAAGTTAGTGGGATATAAATAACCTGTCCTAAGGCCGTATCGCTCTTCAGAAAAATTCGATTTTCGTTCAGATACTTAAATAACTCCTTCCGAATAATCTTTCCAAAAATTTTACCAAGCTGGTTAGACCTACGTGTTGACAGTTCTCAGGTACGTGTCTTGTACTAGTTCTGAAGGTAGGACTTGCTATGCCATTGTGGGGCGTGTTGCTGATGTCCACAACTATAAGTAGTGTGTATCCCTAGTTGACAGTAGAACGTCTGGCGGCAGAATGTTTGGAAGATCGAAGGAAAGAGAACGAGGACAGAGAATAATTGGTGTACAAACGAAGGAATAGTTAAGTCTGACACAATTGGATAACATTTTGCATATGAAGTTCTACTGTATGGTTCTGAGATTTGGCTAAGACATTCTGTAATTTTGTATTCAAATACATGTGATTGTCCCCACTGATGTTTTCGTTCACGACAGCATTATTCCAGTCTTTTGATAGTCGATTCTGTGTTCTAAATAGATTGAAGCATGTGTTGAGGGATTAAAGACGAAATTTACTAGTTCCCTTAGTCACCTAGGATGCATATCATCAGGTCACATGAATATCAATATCGTTTAGCAGACCAATGACATCTAGTTCTTTAATGGTTACAGTATCCAGAGTGTGTAGGGGGTTTGTATGAACTGAAGGAGAGGGCATCTCTACATTATGCACACTGCTGAAGTCATTTGTGAGTAGCTGAGCTTTATTATAATCGTCCTTCACTAATGATACAGTACTAAGGTATCCCTCTAACTCTATAATATTTCCTCTTCTCTTAGTCCTCTGGTTTCTGTACGAATATAAGTGTTCGGGGTGTTCTATAGATTCCTTGATAAATGTTTCTTCGTACGACCTTCTTGACTTGCGGAGGGTCGAGGAGTAAATATTTCGAACCTCTCGATATTAAAATTTCGTTCCGTCAGTATCCAGTGGCCTAAATCTCTCCCAAATTCTCTTACAGAGAAGGGTGTGAACCTACTGAAGATGCTGAGTCCATGACGCCTTGTATATTTGACCTCCAGACGTTAGGTCTAGGTCCATCTGACACGCGCTCGTTTGTGACGACTATATGGCAACCAGAGATTCGAACTGAATGATAACATTTGCCTAGAGGTAGCATATTATGAAGGTTTGTGACATCATCATCATAGCAGGTCAATATGAGGTCTAGTAAAGTAAATTGGGAGTCCCGATTGTATCTAGTTGTTTCACATTTTACACTAGAGCACATGTGATAACAGTATCAACTGGTTTCTGTTCGAGATGGTTTTCTGACAACTCGATCCTCGGGGTTTTACAGTCTAACGTAAGTGAGCTAAGGTCTCATAAGATTAAACATCGACCACTTGATGACCAAGTATCAAAACCGTCCAGCAAGACCTCACTCACCTCAATTTGAACTGCGGTGGTTCAAACCAATCCGTAGCTCTTGTCCTTTTAACCTCAGGTGGCAAATGACTAATTTCCTTGTTCGAAGTTAACAGGGTATGTTATCGATAACGGTAAATATGATAGTGTTTCTACTGAATAGAGCTACTACTACACCTCTACACTTATGGGCTATTTGGCTCTTTTTAATAGGGAAATTTCAAAATGGGGTTCCCCATAAAGCATGTAAAATGATCCCTCTGAAGTCTTCAAAACATAGAGTTATGTCACACCTACTTTTACTATGTGTTATATTTGCACTCTGTGGTCATCATATTGGTAATGAAGTGGAAAGTATATGGATGACAAATAGTCGTGTGGGTTGTCATATGTCCGAGATTCAGAAATCTTTCAGGGTAACACGAGGAATGAAGTTGTTTCGTAGCCCAATGTTTGATTAAGTCAGAGTCGCTTGAAAACTAGTGGGGTACATGCCATTTAATGATTATCTTTAGCAGCATCCTGGCTTTGCAGATGAGAGAAAAGTATCAAGAGAGAGCTGTTATCATATTTGAAACTGCTTTTCCCGTCAAAGTAGGGTTAAGCATGTATAGGACAAATATGTACTCATATATGTGCCAAAATGTCTAGTACACCAGTTCACAGCTTAAATTTGCACTTGAGACCCCTGTCGAGTAGTAGTTAAAGCACTCATAGATGTAAGTTGTATGCGAGGGCTGAGTAGAAACTGCCATTTTAAGAAACTGCTTACAAAAAAGATGAGATAAAGACAACAAACGTCTTTCCTGACTACTAAATGAAAAAAGATGCATGTTGTGGATTATTGTTTTACTTCTCCAATTTTTGTTAAAGCAGTCGTTGTTTCACCAACCATTAGACCTTGGTTTCATTTTCCGCTGTCATGGTGAAGATATTCGTTGGGAACCTAAATCCAGAATCCAAAGCATCCGATCTCCGCAAAAAATTTGAGGCCTTTGGGAAAGTTACAGAGTGTGATGTTGTTAATAATTATGGCTTCGTGGTAGGTTGTGATGGTTTTCCAATCAATTTTCTAAGCATATGGAAAAAGAGTCGGAGGCTGAAGCTGCAATAGAAGGACTTCAAAATGCCATTCTTGATGGGGTGAAAATAAATGTCGAACGCAGTCACGGAAAACGAGGTGGTGGCCCCGGACCTGCTAGACGTAGAAATGAAGGGCGTTATCGGGATTATCCACCGGAGAGGGGACCACGTGCACCACCTCGTTACATGAATTCCGGCCCACCTCCCCCGCGAATGGGACGTTATGGTCCGGGTTGGGATGATGGGTATGGAGGGCCCTACGGACCACCACCACGTAACAACTCCAGAGGTAATATGTGTACTATGAGTCTGTAATCATTTAGGTTACGATTATCCCCCAAACGGTGCCAATGGAAGGTATCCGCCAATTGACCGTGGAGAACAACACAGACCACTCCCACGTGGTCCAGCCCGTGACCCACTGCCCCCACCACCTAATATGGGATATCGTGGACCTCCAGTCCCTGAGCCTATTCCATCGTCTCGAGATTATCCTCCAAAACCTCCCCCGGTCAGACAAAGTTACGATGTGTATGGTGAATTTGACCGGTACCGGGAGCCAATAACGCCATCAGGTCCTCCACGTGCAAACGATTATTATGATACATACGGCAGTTATAGCAGCGGAAACTACGAGTAGGCTCCTTCTTACACTAACCACTTCAGGGACTATAGAGATAACGATAGATCAATGTCAAATTACGATTCAGGATACGATTACAGTTACTATGACTATGGGATGGATAGCAGATCACCGGTTCCACCAAGATCAGGGTAAGTGGTTATAATTACTTAATAACAACTAATTATCAAGGTACAGCTACGGTCGCCCCTAACTAAAGTAAGTGGTTCATGATAAGCTACTCAGGATGTATTACTTTAAGTGTTGAGAGTTTGTGCGTGCGTGGTCGTCTAAGTTGCTTAGTAAACGTGCTTCTCGTTTGCCCGCAGCCTAGATCTATGCGTTGACATTACGTCCAATTTTTCGTTCCCCATAACTCAAGTTTACCTAACATTTCAGAGTCGTCCCGTGAAGTCAAACGCGAAGCAACCTCGAATCACGTAGGCAAGAGACGTTTGCATTTATTACTCGTTTCCTGTTCATCGTTCGCATCAACGTTATTTGGCTAGTGTCAGCAGTCGTACCCACGATCTTCTGGCTTTTGCGTTTATAGACATCAATTCACTTTCAGTCGTAAATGTGACTTCTCGTTTTTATGCGTCATAAGAGACCGTCTAAATTTCCCATTTATCTTTTTTGAAATATAAATTGTGTTAGAAATCGTTGCTTTTGCGTTAGTTGTAGTCTACCTCGTCTGGTCCCTACGCGTTGCTTCACGTTTCATACAACTTTTTATTTAGGCTGGTAAATTTCCTTTTGTTGATTATGGGTTGCATATATCTGTTTGTCAACGTCTGCAGCTGATTTTCAGAAGTGGCCTTCATGTATGAACACCGTACTCTGTCATAATGCCATGTCAGTGTCTCGTGCTGATTACTGCTCCTGCCATTTTCGTCAACTACTTGTGGGTTTTTAAAATACTTGGTTGAATAAACCGCCAAAATTTTTTATTTCTCATACAGCGTTTACACGCTGACATCCGACAGTGACACTAGCCTTCACTGCGTGTCTACTTACAAAAAATTTGTCCTACATTACATAGGGTGCTGTACTCTACGAAGTCGTAAGATTTTTCCGTGCATATATGGAAGCTTTTTAACACAAACGAAGTCGGATCTATGTGGCGTCGCAAGTATTCCTCGGACTAGAGAGTTATTTTTCTGTTCTAGTCGTAAAAATGAATACCCTCAGTTGTGTTTAGAATTTTTTTCATAAGTTGATCTTTCATCTCTTGATGAAAGTGTCATTTGATCAAACGTTTATCAGAAGAGAATTGAGTTTCCATGTGCAAGCTGTGAATCTGTCTTAACCGATCACCAAGTCTTGAAAGGTGCCTCAAAAGTATAACCACCACGTTACAGTCAAACGTTTCATTGTACCCTCCTAAGTTTCAGTTGGATAGGCTATGCAATACTATCTACACTTATGGGGAAACCTGTTGGTCGTTTATCTACTTCAACAAACGGATTCATGTATAGTTTGATGCCGTTCGAATCTAACATCGAATCAGGGTGTGTAATTGAGTCTATAAACACCCACACATTCGTATCAGATATTCCTCAGTCTTAGAAGTCTGCGCTCGCATGTCATTTCTGAGTTACTGCAGTCCCCGAACTAGGTTTGAGTGACTAGCGTGCTAGTGATGCAAAATTAGCGTAGCCTCTTTTGTCTTGTGTTTTGTACTCGTGGACTTGACAGTATCTACACTTATTACTGTCCTGCGAATCTCTTATAAGTAGACATCTAAAGTCACTCAACCGACCTCTTAATTAGGTATTAGTTACAAATCGCCATTGCTACGTTTAAGATTCACAATAGATAAGCTGAAAGATTTTGATTATTCATCGACTTACATTCGTTGTATCGTTTCAGTTTCTGATAATCTAAAGACATTTCGCAATAAAGTGGTTAATTAGCAACACCGTGGTTCTGCCCGGTTTATGTCTAACATCCAAGTATGCGTTGCCGGGAGAGGATAGACTTTCCCGTAATCGCTGAATATATGTGGGTCCGGAATGGTCTGATGATGATGCTGAGCGACTATAAAATCGATTCTTAGCATCGGGTCTCAATTCTAAGGCGTCCAACGGTCCCACACTTTCCCAAGCTGAATTACTGTTGTTTATTTTACCACGTTATAATAACAGGTTATAAAGCACAATATTTTTCGTCATAATGTTAAGATGCATCTCATCGATAGTTGTCGATTTCCTATGTATTAAAGTTTCGAACTAATATTTCATTTATTGTATCAATTATTTATTTGGACTTCAAATAAACAAATTTATCCATAACACCTTGTTCTCTGGACAAACTGAGTAAATATATTAAATACTGCAATCTGAAGATGAAACGATAGTCCACATACCTAGTTGTTTTTAGAATCCTAAAGCGGTTGAGAATATAGGTAAATAATCTTAATTACGATGGTAATGTTTCATTTGTTCAGTTGATTTGTCACTGATGTCATCATCGTGTACTCTTAGGTGGTGGAGTTCTGTCGTTCGAGTTGCTATGTGTCTGTCAGTCTAGTGGAATTGGTATGGCGCTCACCGCTTGACATGCAAGTGTGTCTCGAGAAGTTTAGTGCAGTTTCATCCAACCCATTTTAATTACCTAGTTTGTCGTATGGTTCTTTCCCGCATTAAATTCTCTTGTGGCAGTGATGCAGCATGTATATTCTAAACTTAGGTGAGTGTTTAATAACAAACTTGCTAGAAAATTCGGAGTTCTTTAGCCTTTGTTACGATTGTAGACTTGGGTGGTCAAATTAGAAGCCTTGAGTCACACCCTGTTAAACTGCTGAAGGATCAAATGCTTTCTTGATGTAATCCTTTTAAACACACCCCCAAACTGTTCTTGTCACCTGTCAAACTGAAACCTTTTGGAAGCACCATTTTCTACAACAGTAGTGCGAGGCATTATATCAGTCTTACTCAACGCGGGACCAGACACAATGCCGTATCGGTTTAAGTTGCCACTGCTAATTTGTAGAGTTATCGGAAGCTGTGTATGACAGCATTTTTTAGGTTATGTAGAACCAAGGAATCAGTTACTATAGAGCTTTTGGCTTTCAATTTTCTACCGTAGATCACGATAGTCCCACAGGTTTTCACCTAAGTCTATTCCAAATGGTACGTCAACATACAGTTACCGGCGTGATACATTGGTGCAAGGTATCCTTATCCACGGTTTCCCGTTTCTCCCTAAAACTCTGCTCCGAAATTCACAGTTCATGGCGATTCCACCATCTTCGGGCGATGCTTCAAAAACGTGTAGTCGAAGAGTAGTAGCTTGAGCATTCCTGATGAGGTATATCTCTTTTCAGTTTATCAGCACTCGTTCTTCCAAACATTTCTGAATAGAACGTGGAGCGTATTTACAGTTATCTATATATCTTCAGTGATCTTTGAGTAGATCTTGCAGGACTTGGAACCTGTTTATAAGAGCTGTCTTGGATTCGTCGAGTCTGTCAGTCTCTCGGTAGAAGGCTGTATTAAACCTTTGTAATGCTGTCCCTCCAGTGGTCTAGTGGTTCTTTAGCTTCATTTTTATCTTGATCACAACCAAGTGGTGATCTGAAGGTATGTCAGTTCTCTTGGTTCTCACGTCTTCCATTGACCTTCTGAATTGTTTAGTGATACAAATATGATCTATCTGATTCCCTGTAGTGTGATCCAGTGAGACCCATGTTGATTTGTGTAAATAATCAAAATACTAAGAAGCACCAAGTTAAATCGAACGGTCCTATGGCGACGAAATAGTGAATTCATTGTAATGACTACATTTATCTCTCAGTCCAACGGAGAAAGTCTTCGTGTTGTGGTTTGTTCGCCTTCAACTTTCTCCCGGCTACATCAGCCGTGCGTTACATGGCTGTGTATTTGGACCTTCAGTCAAGACTTTCATAAAAGCCCGATTTCGTGTGTTCTACCATCGCATGCTCTACGATAACCCGATTTTGATGGAGGCATTATGCATTCTTCTATGGCCTATCGAGCCTTTCCTTTACAATAATGTAACAAGAGTCATTCTACATCGTCTTTGACCTTGAATACCACATATAACTCGAAGTTCCTGATAAATTTCCAGTATTTGGTTGGTTGCCCATCGAAAGTATTTAGTTCTACCTTTGGGAGCTCATGACGCACGCTTAGAGGTGTCAAGGTCACTTCTCATGTTCGTTCGTGGATAGTCTAACACATTTGGTTTTTCTGGGGACTTGATTCTAATGTCATAAGAACGGCTTACGAATCTGTAAAAATACTCCTGTCATCACAATTGGGAGCAGAAGATACTTTACTACATGTGTTCTCTTTTAGCCTTAACGACCCTAACTCTCTGAAGTCGCAGCAGCTGTTCCCTCTGCTTATCTTTCAAATCTCTAATAGTTGTCTTTCCGTCAACTGCTTTTCTTTTAACTCTGCTAAGCTTATGCTACATCTAGTTTTGCTATGCCTGCTTACTAATCTAGTATTAAAGCCATGACATGAAGATGTATCAAAAGGAACTTGCCGTACATCTGGAGGCGCATCTGACTGCATTTCTTCATGGTCCAACACCAGGCTTCCGTCGATCTTATTGCGCTTGCCAGGCATTGCAGTGTTTGTCACTTGTAATTACTGTTCGTTTGAGAACCATGTCATTCGGAATTGCATGCTAGGTGGTCTAAAAATACATAAGCAATCGTTCGATAACACCTATGATTAAATACTAGTAGCCTGCGAATATCTATCTTTTTCACTTTCATAAGGAAGAACAACTGGACGAACATTTACACTGTGTACTAGCCCTTTAGTTGACGGACGAACACCTCGTCTACTCCACACGTTATCAGAAGCTAATCAAAATTCTAAATTGTGTTGAGATTTCCTCAGACAACAATATCAAGTTGCATATCTCTATTGTTTAGTGAATAAATAAATTGCTCTGGGAGTTAGTCAATAGTCTGGTATTGTTATATAGTATGCAAAGTCAGTAGACTAATTTGACTATGAGATAAAGTTTGTCACATATACTTATTTCCTCGACACTTATACTTCCTAAATTTGTCAGCGTTTTTTAACCAAGGTCTTGATACGTCTTGAGTTTTCTATTGTTACTTCAATGAAATCGGAGACTACTTATTGACTAATGATTTTAGAGGACTTCTGGGTTTGGAGACGTAATGTCCAAATGTTTACATGAATTCGCGTCGAAATAATCAAGATATAGCTATAGTATCCAAATTGTTTTTAAAGTCCTGACATTCGAATTTCTATACATTTTCAGTTCTATATCCAGAGCTTTACGCCAGTGTGATGTTTAAATGTAACCTTCTGGTTAGTCAGTGACCTTATCTAAAGCTATCCTTGGTATTTTAGAAGAGAATGAATCTACTATCATAATGTTAGTTAAAGTTGCTACCAGTATACTTGATCATCATTGTTGCTATTCCATTCTATCACGTAACTTAATATTTTGTGGTTAAATTAAATGGTATTTTACCATACTCATTATTTCGCGATATTTAGTATACGAGTGTTAAGGCGGTCGACATTATTGGGATGCTTTTCCTCCAAGAACCACTTGTCTTATGCATATACTTGCCCTTCCCACATAAAGTACCTAGTGAGGTGTTTCTAGTTACTGTGCACAAGTCTTTTGACTTGAAACGATATATAATCCTCAGATTAACAGTTTACTAATCTCAACCTGTCATAGCCCCAAGTTGTCACCACAACGATATGAAATTATATAGATACTGAAGTAGTACCAACAATATTAGGCATAAGTGGTGATCGAGAAGGTCGAATCCGAGCTATGAATTTTCCTATGATTTAGACACAGGATTTGGAGGTCAGTATGTAGTAACTCGGTGTTACTTTTACCGACTCTAAGCTGTATTATTCATCGTTCCTAACCAGTCAACTCACGGACCACGACCCACTAAATGGCTATGTCCAGTGGTAAATAATTTCCATTGGAATCACAAATCCATCTACGTTAGGTGGTCTCGCAATATCGTGGGTCGGTCGGAGTAAGACGCTTACGCACACCGGACCCAATGTCCTGAGTTAGATTCCTGGTCATAAATGGGTACTGCTGAAAAGTCCCAAACTTGGACGGACCGGTCGTTCAGTGTTTCTAGGTTTGGAATGTTTGTCTAAATTATATCAGTTTATGATCCCATTGTAAGTCCATGATCTACTGACAGTAAATGATTTGGTAGAGGAGCATCATGTGTTCACTTTGCAGCCCTTCGTTTCCTTTCAGCCAACACTGCGCGTCAAGAAAGATGATGGCTGGATGCACGTAACACTTGGCCGAGACAAGGAATATTCACAACCCATTTGCGTAGTATTCTACTCCCAACTTTAAAGTCAATTGGTCCACATACTTTCTTATTCCGGTTGGTACTGCGATGTAGGATCTCATCTTACTTGTCTACTATTTGGTATATGTAGAAATGTTTAAATTAGTTTTCAGTAGTTTCACTATGGGTTGGACAAAAAGGTGTTAAATTTATGTTGTTACATTGTCTAATGCTAACAGTTCCGCTTATAAGAGATTTCTTTGGCTCATACAATTTTGGTCCTTGGAGAATAAACGTCCGTTATCTCTTTCTCAATGTTTTCCACGGGTATCGACTCATGGTGAGAAGTTATCTCTGAAAGTCCGAGGTTCGTCGTTCATCAAATTATGAATGTTAGTCGTTACATCAGCTAAGGTCAAGCATAATCCCTCGGCGCGTAGATGTACCTTTTGTCTGATGAAGATTTTATCGAAAGACTTATTTCATGGTTGTCCATCATTTCATATAGTTTAATTTTTTTCAGGATACGGTCTCTGAATAGATAGTACACTGGTGTTTATTTGACGTAAATATTTTGACTAGCTACAGGAAAATGTACCGTGGTAATTACCATACAATGACTGTGTGGCCTGTTTTATCTTCATTAGTAGCTGTCTACCTTCAGATAGTCCTAGTATTGAATGCATTTTGTGATATTGAGGTTCCCTTATCTGTCTAAAACACTAATTACAAATGTATCAGTGCTTGAAGTGTGGGAAAGACTATGAACATAAGTAAACATATATCAAAATTCTGGATTAATTTCATAATTTTGTGCGAAACATTTGCTACTACGTGCAAAATATGACTACTGTTATTATTCCTCATAATTAAGAAACAAATTAGCTTATGGTGAGTCTTAAAAAAATGAAAATATTTGTTCTCGGAATAGTCCTCACTCATATAAATAAAACCGGATGGTCTAGTCTACATTCCTTGAAGTGCGTAAGCGTGAAGACCAGCTTTCATATGAAAACAATTCCGAAAATATTCACACTACTCATTAGTAAGGTAAGTCTAATCAAATCAGAAATAGTGGTCTGTTCTCAGTGTTGTTTCTTTTTCATGAGCGTACTGTTCCAATTACCATACACGAATATTCCGAACAAGTTTATCAACAGATTAAAGTGTATGACTTCTTATATTCTGGATTCACATAACTAACAACTTTTCTGCCTCCAGAGATTAGTGAAAATTATGACCTGTGACTAACAGCCTTTCTCGCCCCTAATAAACAAGAAGCTTATACTCAAAACAATATTGCATAATTTTTATGGAAAAAATAAGGAAAGTGATAGGAACTGTGTAGACCAAATAACACATCTTGTTGGGATTTAGATAGGAAAAACAGTGGACCGAGATCATTGATTTGGGTTGTGAATTCGATCCTATTTCTCTGTCTGTATTCTGCACAAAAAGTAATTTTTTTTCTCAACACAATACGTTTGTCTGTGTAAGGATTGTGAAGATTCTTGAATGTTTTTGAGATCAATGAAAACCCGGAAGCTCTGTAAACTCGTTCTCAGCCGCCCCAGTTTTCCAGGAGTTAGCCGTTCACGTGTCGGACTGAAGCTTCCAGTTTAGGTTCATATTGGTGGGGTTGTGGTTTCGCACTACCATGGAGCGACACTGCTGCCTAGTGTATCTCAGTTCCCGATGGCTATCTAGTTTTGGTCGGTTCGTAATCTCAGTAACACTACATTTCTTTTGAACTGCCACTTTGTCTTTTATTTACCCTTCGTAGAGGATTCATCGAATCAGACTTCGAATATTTCACTTACTTACTCTGTGATCTAATCCTTAAATCGTCAAAAATACCCCATAAGTTTAGTGGCAAGCCTAGTTATCAACTATTTTGAGAACGACAGGAAAATATAATAGAAAACAAGAGGAAACATGGGATACTTAAGTGGACTTTTACTCCATGATTTCTCATGTTTACACTTAAACCTTTCGTTTTTCAAGTAAATTGCCCGACTTTTTTATTTTAGTTAATTGAAGCGTTTGAACCAACACAATTATTCACTAAAATCACGAGCCCATCTAAGACAATCATTAAAAATCTGAGGGCGCCGAACGGCTGTTTTACCCCAGTTTAAGAATCATTAGAAGTGCTTATCTACATCCTTCAAACCGGGAATCGAACCCAGAACCACCGGTCGTCCTCCTAAACGCTTAAACTTTGGACGTCTGAACCAGTACTCAATAATGCACAGGTCTAACCACAGTTAGTTTACGGTATTGCCCGACCATCCGTTTTTTTTAGTTGGTACCTTCCCCACATTCGAGATGGCTGAACTCTACTGGTCACAGCTTCTCTCTAGAACTCCAGAAATTTCCACTCGAACTTATTAACTAGTGCGCACATTATAATTACCAATCTGGGGTTGTGGATCTTGTTTAATTACACTGAACTGACCAACTGGTCTTAGTAACATTTGTTTTATTGTTAAACAATGAGGATGATCAGTCTGGTTTTTAATTGTTTTTTTTTCTGGAATACTTCCCCTTTTGTACCACATAGAAACACTAAAAGAAATCGAAATTACTTGAGTGAGATATCGATCAAGGGCGACATGTTGTTCTGTGGTAGAATTAAGTGACTTCTATCAAAATATATTGCAAGGTTGTTTCAGTACTCATATTCGGTAGTAACATACAATTTTCAACCAGGCCGTGACTCGAGAACGTTTAGAGCTGAATTTTCACCATAGGCGAGCTGCTGTCTGAGTCGAAACGGATACAAAAGTTAGAAATAGGAGATAGTGCTCGGTCACAGAGACGATAATGAAATTGGTGTCACCATCTTGAAACACCGACTTCGGTGGCTTGGACATGTTCTACGAATGTCGTCCCAGAGAATTCCACGTCGTGTATTATTTGCCGACTCTGGGACTGGTTGGAAAAAGTGGAGAGGTGATCAGTATATGACATGGTGTCGTGGTATGAAAGAAAGCTGCAAAGGGCTAGCTTCTGTTGGTCCTTCACGACTCTCTGGTTTGGGTCCGAGAGACGGTGTAACGCAGTGGCTAGAGACGTTATCAGATATGGCTCAGAATAGAAGCCAGTTGCGATCCTGCTGTAACCTTTTACTTTCTTCATAAAAAGTGGTTGTATCTTCCTTAACTGAAAGATTTCTTCTGATTGTACCTTTTCGTTTTCCCCATCATTGTTCTCTCTCTCTTTTTTTTATAATTCCCCACGTTCATTACTTTTCTTTTCTCTTTTCTCCTCTTTAAATTATCATTGTTTTGTGTGGCGCATATATATTTGGAGCCCCCCTGTACCAATATTTATGTGTTCAAATAAATAAATAAAATAATTGTAAGGTTGTAGTGTCAGTGTTATACCTACAGTAATATACACAACGATATAATTCGACCAACCAATTAACACTTAAAATAATCGAATCTTTATTTTAATAAAAGCATGGTGCAGTTAAGTACTAACAAATGATCCTTGTGAGAAAAACTTTTTTGACTGGATTGCATCCAGTTTCGTATACGGGTATTTTATCGTTACACCTTAAACTTCTGATCTTATTCTTGCCTTTGGGTTTGATCGTTTGTTTCTAGACTACTGGTGACTATAATTCTGAAGATTTGTAGTGGCTGTTTCTATCATTAGTTGTAAGTAACACATTCTGACAGGTTTACAACTACATATTATATGCCCAGACTATCATTATTTGAAGTTCCGGTTTTGATATTGTAAATGCGTTGAACTATTATTTTGGTACTCAGTGTCCAAGAATTGTGGATTTAACAATCTTTTTTGCAATAGATTCCAATGCTAAGGATTAACTAGTTGGAAATTCAAAAGATTAAGCACGTTTTTAGTTGTTGTATAACTAAGATCAGTTTTTATTGTGAAATTGCGAATTCTACCAATCGGTCTCTGATAATTTTGCGCACGGAACTGAGTGAGACCTAACTGTTAACTGAATGGCTATTAGAGGACACAATCACCTATCAAATGAATAAATAAATGAAGACATATTAGGTGAGTGATTATATTTATGTAGAAAATATTTAATCAAGGTGATGGTACTCAATTACTCAGTGAGTAACAGGTGATTACTCTAAAGGAAAATTGGGGGTCTCAAGACGACATGATTTTTCACATCTCTTGGTAGTCGAAATAAATCTGACAAATTAAATAATATTTTCAGCTATGTTGATAATCAACTTTATGCGTTGAGATTTTCTATAGTCCACTGATTATACATTACTGATTAGCTCTCTTTCGCTTGATGGATGTCATTTCGAAAACAGATTGGATTTTCGCAGCTCAAACATGTAATTGCAGTATTCAATTCATTTCAAACACAAAGACCCATCTTGATTTCAATGTTTAGTTTCGTTTCTGGAAACAGTAATAAATAAATTGAAAAGTCCACAAAGCAAATACATTTTTTGCTACATACCAGCAGGTTTTCAAAATCCAGTGTACAGCCAATCGATTTTTCTACGTGCACTTTTGACCGTATTTTATGTATTAAATAAAATTTAAAACGGACTCCCCAACCTTTTGATTTGTGCTAAGACTGTCGAAACACTTGGGAAGCGTTACGTAGTTGGTGCTTAATTTTAAATACATGGTATTTTGATAACAACCGTGAAAGAAAACCCAATAAAAACTTTAGAATACTCAAAACATGCATTGTATCGTATAAATACTGTTGACTTCAAGCATTCTAACCATTTACTTACGCCTGTTACCCCCAATGGGGCATAGTCTGCCGACCAGCATTCTCCAACACACTCTGCCCTGGGCCTTCATTTCTAGTTCTATTCAATTGTTTTTCATCCTCAGGTCCGTCTCCATTTCTCAGCGTTGTGTTCTTTGTTCTTCCTCTTCTCCTTTGGCTTTGAGGATTCTAAGTGAGGGCTTGCCTTGTGACGCAGGTGGGTGCTTTATTCAATGTGTGTCATATCCGCTTTCAGCGTTTCTTTCTCCGCTGGGATCTGGTTTCTTCTCCCATAGTAGGTTGTTGCTGATAGTATATGGTCAAATATCCGAAATACTTTGCGTGGACAGCTGTTAATAAACACTTGTATCTCCTGGCTGATGCTTTTCGTATTTCTCCAGGTTTCCGTCCCATACAGTAGAACTGTCTTGACATTTGTATTGAAAATTCTGACCATGGTGTTGGTTGACAGTTGTTTTGAGTTCCAGATGTTCTTCAATTGTATATATGCTGCTCTTGTTTTGCCGATCCGCGCCTTCACATCTGCATCAGATCCACCGTGTTCATCAGTGATGCTGTCCAGATATTTAAAGGTTTTTACATCCTCCAAAGCTTCTCCGTCAAGTGTAATCCGATTGGTGCATGTTGTGTTGTATCAGAGAATCTTACTTTTTCGTTTATGTATGTTGATACCTATTGATGCTACACCGGTCATCTGCATTTCTTGTTGCGTGTGCGATAAAAGAGCCAGATCATCTGCGAAGTCTAGATCGTCCAACTTCATACTAGCTGTCCACTGTATACCGTGCCTTACCCTCAGATGTTGACGTTTTCATAATCCCGTCGATCCCCAGGAGAGAGGGTGAGAGTAAGCAAGCTTGCCTGGCACCGGCCTTTACTTCGAACGAGTCTGTGAGCTGTCCTCCATGCACGATTTTGCAGTTTGATCCATCATAAGAATTCCGTGTGATGTTGACTATCTTCTCAGGCACACCGTAGTGTCGAAGAAGCCTCTATAATATTGTCCTGTCCATTATATCAAATGCTTTCTCGTAGTCAGTGAGGTTGATGTAGAGTGATGAATCCCATTTAATTCATTGTTCCATTGTAATTCGTAGTGTTGCGATTTGGTCGGTTCACGACCGATCCTTACGGAATCCAACCTGTTTGTCTCGAAGTCCTTCATTTAACAACACTGTTGAAGAATTCTCGTGGTATTGGGAGAAGAGTGATGCCTCTGTAGTTCCCACACATGCTGAGATCGCCTTTCTTTGGTATCTTGATCGGATGTCCCTCTTACAGTTTGTATGTACTCGTTCTTCATCCCAAATCTTGCTGAAGAGAATGTTGAATATCTTCGCAGTTACTGGTACGTTTGCTTTCAGTGCTTCTGTTGGATTGTTGTCTGGTCCTGCTGCTTTGCCGCTCTTGATTTTTCTGATGTCCATCTGATCTCTTCAATTGTTGGTGGGCCAATATTGGTTGAGATATCTGTGGGTGCTGCTTCGATGTTAGGTGGGGTCGGTAGGGCTGGTCGATTCAAGAGTTCCTCACCTGTTTCGTTGTTCTGCAGTGTTGGCGATTACTTTGCCTTCTTTGCTTTTCACTGGTCGTTCTGGTTCACGATAATTTCCAGAGAGTTTCTTTGTTGTATCATACAATTGTCTCATGTTTCCTTATCTTACAGCCTTTTCCGCCGTAATCGCTAGATCTTCCACATATTTACGTTGGCTTTGATGCTCGTCTTCACTTGCTTGTTTGCTTCTGTTTATTCAGCTTGTGACTTGGCTTTTTCTGCTCGTGTTCGGCTGGTATTGATTGCTGACTTCTTGTTCCTCATTTTTTTATCTTATTCAGTGTATCAGCAGTGATCCATTCCTTGTGATGGTGCTTCTTGTGACCCAGAACCTCATGACATGTTCGGGTGATTGCCTCCTTGATCCCTTTCAAGTTGTTCTCCACAGTAGTCCCCTCTTCACTGAATAGATTATGAAAGGTTTGGAACCTACTGCTGACGGCTATCTTGAGTTCGTTGAGTCTGTCAGTATCCCAAATAAAGGCTGTATTAAAATTTTGTGATGTTGTCCGCCACATTGTCCGTTGCTTCTTGAGTTTGAATTTCATCTTGACGACCAGCAAGTGATAATCTGCGGCTATATAAACTCCTCTCTCGGTTTTTAGGTCCACCATTTGAACGAGTTATTGATGCAGATATGATTGATTTGATTCTCTGTAGTGTGATCCGGTTAAATCCATATGGCTTTGTGTATGCGTTTATTTGGGAATGTGGTGCCGCCTATGACCGGTTTATTGAAGGCATGTAGGTTTTCAAATCTCCCACCATCTTCGTTCCATTATCCCTGTGCATATCGTCCAATGATGCGTTCATATCCGGAGTTGACCATTCCAACCTTAGCGTTACAATTTTCAAGTCCTTTGCTGGGCATTTCTCAACGATTGATCGCAGCCTATCTTAAAATTGCTCATTAAAGTCTTCATTTTAGTTTTTGCTAGGCGCATAGCATCGAACGAAGTTCATTGTAATGCCTTCTAACTTTGTTTCGAAGGAGGCTTTGATGATCCTTGATCCATGAGATTCCCATCATATAAGTACATTTTGTGCTTGTTTGCTTAGCATCAATGCAACTTCTTGTGTATGTGGGGCATTTTCTTCTTCATGGCCAGAGTATAACAACAGCTGCCCTGAAACTAGTTTTTGTTGTCCAACCTGCCTCCAATGTGTTTCACTGATTCCAAGTACATCCAGGTTGTATCTTTTCATTTCTGCAGCAACTTGGATGACTCTTCCGGTCTCGCACATTGTACGAACATTCTCTGTACCTAAACTAATGGTTGCTGTAGTTGTCGGAAGGGGCATCAGCCTCGTGACTTCCAAAGGAACTCGGCTTTCAACATGAGACCTCACAACTCTTCTAAATGAAGACCCAACTCTCAGGTCAGAGTTTAATTGGTTTGAGTTATTTCTTTTGATTAGCGTTTTTTAGCGAATTAGTTCTCCACGGGATGGGGTCGCTAACCCCATACCCAACCTTCCTCAGTTATTCGGGCTTGGGACCGGCAGTAGCCCCCGGAATGGCTCCACGCGGAGTTAACTAAGTAACCTAATTCCAATAAAATCATATAAGAATAAATAGTAGTTCATGTGAACATGCGGGATTATTATGAATCAAGAAATAACAGGGTGCAAAATATTTTTATGATACTTTACGGCAATGAGAAAAACAGTATAAACTTTCTTAACAGATTCCTAATAAAAGAATTGATGTAACATGTTAGTGTAGGATTTTCTTGCAGTATTACAGAAAGCAAAACGTACAAGTAGGTTACTAGAAGAAGAATTTACAAACAACAGGATATTAGGAGGAACAGCGATCCAATGACACTAGTGATTCAAAAAACCAGTCATGTTAAATTATATATATATATATATATATATATATATATATATATATATATATATATATTCGGGTTAGTCATATGAATAAGTACAAAGTAACGAATGGGACTAGAATGACTCATTTTTTACACGATTACTTAGTATTATCACTTTCAGTGTAAAATAAAGTATAGTGTGATGAAGAATATGCATCAGGTTACACGTAAAAGGAACAAGAGCATCGCTC